ACTGTTATACTAAAATATGTCATATTTCTAAATTTTTATATTACAAAATACATTCTTTCCATTATAAATTATTTAAATAGTTAAAGACAAAAAGAAATATCATATTTGAAAGTGTGATTTTTTAATATAACAACGTGTATGAGTCAATTTTAGTATGAGATAAATATAATAAATTGACTAATTAATAAAATATAATAATAGATATTAAATATTGTGCAGGTCGTAATTTAGAATCTAATTATATTTTTCAAGTTATTGACATTATAAATTTTAAACCAATATATTTATCGCAATGCGTTTTTATATCATCATGACGCATAAGCAAAATTATGACTCAAGAGATCGTGACATGAATCTAATATTGATCAAATGAAGAATGTGTTAAAATTTAAAATTAACTAAGAAAAATAAAATTTAAAATGAAAAGTAATTTTCAAGTTACTAATCAAATAAAAAAATGAAAATTTCTAATATTATCAATAATAATTAAGAAACAAAGTTTAAGATGAAATATAGACATGACATAGCCATAAAATAAATAAATAATACATATAGAATAAAAATCTCAATTAAAATAAATAAAAAGATGAATGATAAAAAAGAAGATATATAATTTGGAAAAACAAAAGTTAGAAAGGTTGTAGAAACCTCACTTTAAAATATTAAAAATATACACAACCATACAAAAATAAAATAAAAACAAAATCTATAAGAATATTTATTTTATCAATATAGAGTTATAGAATATCACAAAGAAAATAGAAATTTTTGACATATAACGCCATTTCTACTCTTCAAGTGTATATATTGAAAATTATATAAGTTAAAAAATAATAATATTATATTTACTATTAAGTTAATACTGTATAAAGTTTGGCGAGTATTAACCTCTATGAAAAATAAAACGATGACATTAATAAAATACAGTTATCAATAATGTACTTATGTGATGGTTTTGATGAGGTTACTAACATAAAATTTACTCTTTTCTGATTTAACTATA